GGGCGACGGGAAAGTGGTGGTGGGGGTGCAGGGGGGGGTGAGGGTGGGGGTACGGGTGGGAGGGCCGCGAGGCAACGTCGAGGCACGCGCACGAGCGGAAGCGCTGATCACTGGAGGGAGAGGGGGAGGTGTTTGGAGGGGCTGCTCAGGCCTCGCTCATCAACACACACACACACGTACATACACACACACACACACACACACACACACACACACGCACAATTTCGCATACGCGCGTACACACACACACGCACGCACAACGAACACGGCCGAAAGCCTCACGTGTCCGATGGTCGGGTCGTCAGGGCGCGTGAGGGATATGGTGCAGCTGGTCTCAGTCATGCCGTAGCCCTCCAGCACGGTGCAGCCGAAGCAGATGCGCAGGAACTGCATCACCTCCGCGCTGATGGGGGACGCGCCTAGGAGGGGGCAGGGGCGTCGGCGCGCCGCCGTGCCGTTTTCTGGTGACGCTGTAACTTCAGATCAAATCGCGACCGGCCCAAGGGCATTGATGCAACACTCAAGGTCGGGCGTGTTCAGTTGAGATGCGGCTCCCCCCCTCGGCCTCGCAGGCAGGCGTCGCTGTGGCGTCGAAGACTGCGACGCGCAAACAGCCTCTCCAGCACGCGCGAACACACACACACACAACACACACGCAATCTCTCTCTAGGACACACACACACACAAAAAGACACGCACGCATACACATAAACGCGCGTACGGGAGTTTGCACACCTACACACGCACGCGCACACACACACAAACACACAGTCACGCACCAACTCTCAAACAGCGGCGCCACCTCACCTGTCGTGAGGTACTTCACCTCTCCCCCCAGCTTGGCCCTGACCTTGCTGAACACAAGACGGTCCCACAGCGGCCCCCAGCGCCCGCCACCCAGGTCACCCGCCTCCAGCGCCGCCTTCTTGGACGCGTACGCCTTTCATAAGCCAAGAACAAAACGATGGCGCACAGGGGGGGGGGGCGCTGCTTGATAAATCCATAGGAATTTGTGGAGTTGGCACGCGTGGAGCTGCAGCGAGGGCCCTGGTAGCGCCTGGCAACCCCGCTGGGGCCGCCGCTGCGCGCTGGGGTGGTGCGGCTGTACGAGCTGCAACTGTCATGGCACTTTGCCCGTCGCACTGAGCCCCCCGGTACCCACCCGCTCGAACAGGGCGCGCGACATGGGGTTGCCGTCGCGTATGGCGCCCATGACTCTGTCGTAGATCCGGTTCCACAGCCGCGGCACACTCACAAAGATGTGGGGCTTGAGGACCTGCGGGGGTTGCCCAGGCGCGGTGAGGGAAGGGGGGGCATACATTTGGAGGGGCAGGGTAGGAGTTGGGTTTGGGCGATGTCGCTGTGTGTGCGTGCAGGGATTACAAAGGTGCGCGCGGCGATGATGCGCGGCGAGCGGAGGTTGGGCAGTGTATATGCTGCCACCTGGTTGCGTCCTCACACCTGCACACCGACAAACACACACACACACTCACGCACACACGCACACACGCACACCCCGCCAAGCTTGCTGTTTAACAAAACAGTCAAAACTGACTCATTGATTGTTTTGCACGTCAGAGCACACGCGGCTGGAAGCACGTCCGGCGGACTCACCATGACGTCATCCAGCAGCTCCTGCACGTTGCCCGAGTAGAACCCGATGCTGCCCCCCATGTGGATCGTCATCTGCAGGCGGGGGTGACGCGGCGCCAGGCGACGTGAGGCCCCCATGCATATCATCAACACACGCGGCAATCGGCCCGCAACCCCTATTTTGCGCTACATATCAGGAGAGATCCTGGCCGCCCAAGCAAGCCGAGCGGCGCGGGCGCTTGCTTGCAATGCCAAGCCCAAGGGGGAACTGGTGGCCCCGCCACCGCGTCTGTCCAAATGCCTCGAGGCCCTGCGCAACCTCTCTAATCAGTAATCAAACACTTTTGATGCCCCCGTCACCGCAGGCCGCCCAGCCAGCAACGCCGCACCCCACCGTCATGTTGTTTCTCTCGTAGATGTGGGCCAGAGGGAGGTAGCTGATGTGGCGGTCCCCCGGCTGGAACTCGTCCAGCAGCGCCGCGGTGCCGGCCGCGTCGGCGATCAGGTTGGAGTGAGTCAGCATCGCGCCTGGAGGGGACGGAGGGGTGCGGGGTCACGGGGTGACGTGGGAGAGGGCTGTCTTGAGTTGCTTCCGGACCCCTGTGGGGCCCGAGGGTGGGGTTCACGCCTGTTGCGGGGGCGGGAGGCCCTCCCAGAGTCAAGTGGGCGGAGCCGCGTGATGGTGCAGGCGGTCCCGACACTCCCCACCCCCCACCAACAAAGCGGCAGGACAACGCCTGCAAAGTCGGTCTCGGCAGGCGGGGGAGGCGGCAGACGGCGCGGGGCGCGGCGGGGCGCGGCGGGGCGCGGCGAGGGCGGCCCGCCGGCGGCCGCGCACCCTTGGGCGTGCCGGTGGTTCCGCTGGTGTAGCAGATGGTGGCCAGGTCACTGGGCCGCGGCGGCACGTGGGCGCGCGGGTGGCGGCGGCCCAGGGACTCAACCTGCGAGCGAAGGCAACAACGAAACATTGAGAGCCGCCGCACGCGGGCAGTCGGGGGCGCCGTTTGCACTGGCCGCGGCAGGAGCCCTGGCGTGCTGGGGGGCATTTGCGGAAGCCCGCACGTACGCGGGAGGCCAGGGGGACGGGAAGCCTGCCCACCCAGAGGCCCCCGGCCGCCCTCAAACGCTGCGGCGGGGCAGGGCGGTGGTGGTCGCCCCGCACCTGCTCAATAGTGACCATCCGCGCCTTGGCGTCTGCTGGCAGCTCTGGCAGCCGCGACGCGCTCGCGCCCCACACCACCTGCGGGACAAGTATGTTTGATATACAGCGGACGCGCGCACACGTGCACGCTTGTTGGAAGCCTACAGCCAGGTTGCTTATCAGGGCTCAACGGTGGGTGGTGGCGCTTTGCCACACACGCATTGAAAGTTCAAGCTCCTGCCAAGACTGCACTGACCCAGTAGAACAGCAGGTGCGGTGCGTTGCTGCCAGTTAAGGCGCCACTCCTGATCGCTGCTCATTCAGGGTCCCGCGCCACCCACCAGCAGCTTGATGGAGGGGCAGCGCGCGAGGCAGGACGCGAGCGTGGGCAGCACCGCGGTGCTGCAGCCCACGACAGACAGCTCCGCATGGTTGCAGATGAACCTGGCGGCACAGCGCAAAAGGGCACGCGTCAGCTTCATTGCCCTGCAAACCCTACCAGCCCGTCAACCACATTATGCATTGCATTTGTCACAAACTGCCGGCATATGTGAACACATCACGCACAGAGGCACATCCATGCACGTCTGACCGTAAAATAGCTGCAGCTGTCAAGATTCTCATTTGAATGTTCAGCGGCCGATGCAAACGCGGCTGCCCCCCTCCTCCAACCCCGGCGGCTCACTCTACAGCGTCTGGCCCCAGGGTGTCATACAGGGGTACGCTGGTCATGCTGTAGGCGTGCGCCGCGGCATCCAGCAGCACCCACTCTGCCCAAGGGTTGGGTGTGACAGCGCGGCAGGCAGGGTCGGCGGTAAGCCGCGAGCGGGCGAAAGGGGGCCCCGCGGGGGCGGCTGCCGCGCATCGCGCAGGCGGCGGGGGAGAGGCGGCCTGGAAACCGCGCCGTCGCGGGCCCCTGCACGCCCTCTCGCTCTGCTTCCGACTGCCAATTGTAGCAGCCAAGGCCCCCAGACCAGCCCCCCCCCCTTGCACACACACTGACAACACACACACACACACACACACACACACACACACACACACACACACATTATACACATACATTGATAAGTATGCACACAAAAAACACAAACATGTGTACACACACAGGCGCACGCATAAATACACCTATACATACACCCACATGCACGCACACACACATACACACACTCTCACTCTCTCACACATGCACATGACCTAACGAAACACATCCACATGCACAGACCCATGCATGACCCCACCTTTGCAATTAACAGAGTAGAGCCCAATCATGGCCTTGGGGGACACCCCTAGGTGCAGCAGCCCCGACCCAATGGCCGTGCGGATGTCGCCCGCCTGCGGGGCGGCCATGCGGCGCGTTGCGGGTTCAGCGATGCGCTCCCGCGTCTCGCAGCCAGAGGGAGGGGGTCCGCTGCAGTCGTCTATGCTTCAGGAAAGTGCGAATTATTGGGCCTCGTGAAACACATGAGTGGCCATCAATATCTCCTGGCACTGGTGCACCAAGGGCGGGTGGTGGTGGCCGTCCGGCCGCCGCGCTGAGTGCGACGCCCTCAATGCAATGGGCCCGGCCGAACCGCGGGAAGGGGAGGGCGCGGCGCGCGCCCACCTGCGAGTACGTGAGCCAGGTGTAGGGCCCCAGCTCCCCCTTGGAGTCGCGCTTGCGGCTGCCCAGGGCGGCCACCTGCAAACGGTAGGCAGCGATGTGTACTTGAGGGGCTGCGAAGGGTGCCAGCTGCCCCCCCCCCACCCACCCAACTGTCGGCTAGCAGAGAGGCGCGCGCCGTCCGCCTCAGAAGCTGCCAGGGCCTGCTACAAAAGCAGGCGAGCCGGCTGCTGTGCTGTTGGTAGAGCCGGCCGCCACCGCCATGCCACTGGCGCCATTCGTCCCGTGTGCTTCGTTCGCTCGGCTGCCCGTCCCTTGTTTGGTGTCCATTATCCTCTCTTGCTGTCGCTCACGTGCGGAAACCGCGCCACTGCCGTCTCCCAATTGTCATACAGCGTGTGCACGTGCTCGTCCGGCTCTGGGAAGGTGGTGAGCAGCTTCCGTGGGGAGAGCGAGGACCTGGCGCGGGAGCGAGGCAGAAGGGAGCGGGGCGTGGCACGGCGGGGAGGTCGCGCCCAGGCAGCAGCTGTTTGACAAGCCTGCTAATTGTTACGGGCTGGCACAACAGGACGACGGGCGCATGCTGCGCCGCCGCTCCCATGCAGGCGGGCGCTGTCGTACACACCCGCTCACACCTGTACACGTCCCACGAGCCATCCGGCTGCAGCGTCTCCGGCAGCGGCACCGCATACGCCTCCTCTGCCATCAGGGGGTCGCCCGCCACCAGATCCTGCTTGCAGAGCGGGTTTGGAGGTGTCGGGGTCGGAAGAGGAACACCATGCAGCTGTGCTCTGCTGCGCTGCCTCGGCGAGTTCGCACGCTGCTCCCCCAGTCTTCTACCTGGCTTGTAGGATTGAGGACTAGCTGCTTGATCTCCTCAGCATTAGGCGCTAGCTGGTTAGCCAGCACCTCAAGCCTTCTTTCCACTTCGTCCATTTGATGGTGTGATCACTACGCACAGCTCAGTCCGTCTATCAAGCAATCCCACGAGCACCCTCCAACTATTATGTCGTTCTTGGCACTGCTCTTGTCGTGGATGCACAAGCGGGGTGACGATGGACGGCTGGTGCCACGCCAGCAACCTGTTTGCAACCGCGAGTGCTTTGCTGGAGGCGTGGGTATGTAGGAAGACAACGGAGCGCACGTGCAGAAACCGGCTATTGCGTCCACATAATTGCCTTGGCCGCTTGCCGGGGCATGCAGCAGCCGCACGGAAGGCGAGGATTTTGCGTGGTCATGTCGCGCTGCGTACCGTAGCATGCAAAGCAGGAGCAGGGTGCCGACCAGCCAGCGGAGCAGGCAATCGTACTCCCAACCAGCGCTCAGCCAGCTGAATCAAATTCTGCACGTGTGTAGCAAGAGCAATCGCTGAGTGTACATCAATTGGCTCGCCCGCCTTGCAAACGGCCTGGCTGCCCACCCACCTGCAGCTGCTGGGCCTGTGTCTGGCTGTCAGGCAAGGATATGCTGCCGAAGTCGATCGACCTGATCGCCACGATCCCACTTCTATTAAACCAAAGCTTCCAGATGGTGTTACAGCTCAACAAGGAGAAGCACATCTGGTGCCGCCGGCGTGCCGGAGCGAACCAACAGGGCAGGCGGAGCCAAAAACAGCATACGCATGGACCAGCGGCATGCAGATGCCAGGAGGGCATAGGCAGATGCCCAGCCCAATACTTGTATTGTGGTGGCGCGGATGACAGTACACACGGCTGGCAGTGGGCCAACACGCGGTCAGAGCCAAGGTAGACGAATTCAGCCTCTCAGATTGACAGCAGCTGACGGTGCAATCACGTGTCGACAGCGCCTTTGCATATTGACAGCAGTCGACAACGCACCCGCCATTCTTGCAGCCAGCCCTCCTCCCAGCCCCCCCGCCCCCCCGCTCAGGCGGCTGCAGCGTGCCAGCAGGCCGCTGTCAGGACAGCAGGGCCGCCAGCGTCTGCGCCTGGTCACGCTGCATCCCGGCCAGCGCCGCCTGTAGGAAGCCTGCGGCGAGGGCGCACGAACGGCAGCAGCAGGAGCGGCGGTCGGCCTGGGAGGGGGGCAAGGCTCCAGCCAAGGGTCCAGCGCGTGCAACAGGACTGCAAATTCAAGCAGGCACAGGGACCCAAATGCCAACAACATGCTTCAGCACTCGCAGCAGAAAACGTTCAACGGGCCGCTCCGATGTTGAGCCCTCCCTGCATCACAACATTCCATTCGTCCCCACCCTCATCCTCACGCCTCACCGGGGTCCTGCGCCGCGACCGGCGCCAGCCCCCGCCGCACGACCTCGCGCAGCGGCACCGCCGCCAGCGGGTCGGCCGCGTCCTCGGGGTCCTCCGCCGCGGGGGTGCCCGCCGCGCTGCGCGCCGCGACGTCGCCCTCAAGCCCCGCCTCCGGCAGCCCGGCCGCGTACAGCGCGCCGCCGCCGCCGCCGCCGCCGATGGCCCCGACCCGCCGGCCCGCCGCGACGATCTCCCCGCTGCCGAGCGGGTCGCCGCCGCCGCCGCCGCCGCCGTCGCTGGCGCCGGCGTCGCTGTCGTCGTCGGAGGCGTCGGAGCCTTCCAGGCCAACGGCGGCCCAGGCGTCGTCCTCCTCGGCGGCGAAGAGCAGCTGCCCCAGCACGTGCACCAGCTTGGCAGCGGCCGGGACCTGGGCGGCGGCACGGGTGGGGTGCCGAAAAGATCGGCTCTGTCATTCTGCAACTCAAAGGGCTGGCAGCACCCAGTCGGCAAGAGCGGGCTTGGCTAGGTGGGGGCACACGCAAGCTGATACCCTCTTAACAGGCCAAGGCTTTTGGGACGCGTATCCGCTAAGTATTCGCACCACCCTCCTATCAAAAAGGGCACCTGTGTGTACTGCAGGCCCCCTTGCCGCCGCGCCGCGCTCCGCGTCACGCGCCCCCCGCCGGCCGCCTCCACCGGCGCCCCCCGCACGCTCAGCGCCGCGAGCGCCGGGTGCCCCCGCTGCGCCAGCAGCGCACCCAGCGCCGCCGCCGTCTGGCGCGTCGCCAGCGCGCCGGCTACGTCTGGGGCTGCCTCCAGCAGCAGCGGCAGCGCCGCCTGCAGCCCCGACTGCTGCTGCGCGCCTCCGCCGCCGCCGCCGCCGCCCGCTGCTGGCAGCTGTGTCACCTCCACAGTGGATGACGCCAACAGATCGATGAGCCCCTTTGCATCCGCCAGCGCGAGCCGGGCGAAAAAGGGCACCAGCCCGGCCGCCACCCGCGGGCTGGGCCCTGCCGCCAGCTTCCGCGCGGCCGCCGCCACCAGTTCCGGCGGGCAGCTTCCAAAGGTCTTGAGAAGCTGCAGCAGCAGGTCCCCAGCGGCGACCGAGCAGCCGTCGGGCAGCTTCGGGTCGAGCAGCCGCGCGGCGCAGCCGGCGAGAAGCTGCTGGACCGTGTCGGGGCTGGAGCCAGGGGGCCCCCACTGGACAATGTTGGGGCCCCCGCAGCGCAGCTGGGGCAGAGGGGCGGTGTGAGAGCGCGTTTGAGCCTGAAGGGGTCGGACTCAAAATACGTAGAGGACACCGCGGTGTTGGAGCCCAACTGCCCTCTGGCGTCAGGTGCTGCATGCGCTTTCTTTTCGCGGCTCCCTGGGAATGAATGCGGCCGACTATCACACAACACACAGACGCATGTGCAGGCAAACGTGGCCGCGCCAAGAGAGGCACACGCGCGCGCCTGCCCACGCCACGCCCCACCGACCCACCAGCTGCACCAGCAGCGCCGTCGCGGCGGACGCCTCCGAGGGGTCATCCGTCGCCCCCAGCAGCGCCGCCGCCGGCGCCAGCGCCGCGCGGCAGACGGCGGCCGCCACCTGGGGCGCGGCCGGCTGGGCGAGGACCTCGAGCAGGTTCAGGGAAGCTTCCACCAGCATGGGCGGCTGGGCAGGCGGCTGCTCCACTACCTGGCGGATGGGCCCGGGTGGGTTTTGGAGGGGGGGGAGATAATGACTGTGGTGATCTTATGAAATGCTTGACACGGGTCGCACGGCGCCAGGCTCAACGGCACGCCAGCAGGGCGCCCGCAGGAGGCGCAGGCAGTGGGATGCCAGCACAACAGGCGCTCGTGAGACAAGCACAGGGCGCTTGGCGGGGCCGCCTGTGGGGGTGCGGTGGGACGCTGTCGTGGCTCACGGCGACGAGGACGGGCAGGGCATAGCGCGCCAGCTCTGGCAGGCAGCGCGGGCAGGCGGCCAGCGCGCGCAGCACGTCTAGGCCCTCGTCTGCGCAAGGTGAGCGCGTATGCAGGTGCAGGCGCGGGCGTAGGCGTGGGCGCATGGGGGTGGGCGGAGCGGCGGAGGATCGCACCCAGGTGCAGCTGAGAAAGGGCACAGATGCTGATTGCGCTGTATCACGGATCCATTTCAAAGCAGCACACATTGCGTTTCTATGCTCCTCAAGCCAGGGGTGTTGCCATCAAACAATCGAACAGAGCAGCAGTATTGCAGCGAGGCAGGTGTTGGGGCGCGCCCCACCCGCGACGAGGGGGTCGGCCACGTTTGCCGACCAGGCCTCCAGCACCGGCCCCGCCAGCTGCATGACGTGGCGCGCCGCCACCTCTGTGTCCACCTGGACGGGAGTGGAGGAGAAGATAACAGAGCCACAAGCCCAGCAATGCGTTGGGGCCGGGGGCCCGGAGCTAAGCGGGCTGGTGTGAGGGCGTCAGAAGACGCTATAGCGGGCACCAGGGGGGATGGCGGTGCAATGAGAGGCGCGATGAGAGGCGCACGCTTCGAGGGTTGAAAAAAGGAGGCTTGAGAAAGACGAATGAGTGACGACCTACGGCGCAGCATCGTGCCGCCCGCCTCGGCCCGCTCGGCCCACGGCACATGGTCACTGTCCGCGCCTTGGCACATGCGATGCATACAAGCGTATAAACATGACTAAAAGCACACACACTCATTCGGACATACTCCCTCTCCCTCCCTCACCTTTACAATCTCCTGCCCACCTGTACGAGCGCCGCGAGTGTCCCGAGCACGAGGTGCATCGTCTCCTCACTGCTGCCACCCAGCAGCTGCAGCAGCCCCCCGTAGACGCCCGGCAGCAGCGGCTGCAGCACGTGCTTGGGGACGGTGGGCGCCAGCTGGCAGAGGGCCCGCAGGGCGCCGACCTTGGCTGCGACGGGCAGAGCGCCTGTGAAGAGGTGTGTGTGCATGCGTGTGTGTGTGTGTGTGTGTGTGTGTGTGTGTGTGTGTGTGTGTGTGTGTGTGTGTGTGTGGCATCGGCGGGACAATTGACCAGTTGTGGCGAACTTGCGTTTGCACCTGAGGATTGAATACTGCAGGTTGAACATTGGAGGTGAAGTTGCTGAAACACTTGCACATCGATCAAATCAGAGTGTATCAGCCAGGGACGGAGAGGGCGTGTGGAGGGCTCACCAGACACGCCCGCCGCCGCCCCCTGCAGCAGCGCCTGCTTCTGCTGCGCCGTGGCTAGCGGGTGCAGCTTGGCGCCCAGCCACAGCGCGCGGCCTACCAGCAGGGCGGTGCCGCCTGGGAGGGCGGGGATGCAGGCATGGGTGCGGGTGCATGCGGAAACACAAGGACCACGCCCCAACGTCAAGCTGCGCGGCCACAGATGTCTGACACTGCGAACAGCGAGACGGGGGGCTCAGCCCCAATTTGCCGCATGCCGCACCACAGACAGTCACATACCCTGAGGGTCTTTCAACCCTGATGGAGCCAAGCACAGGCCCCGCTCACCCTTGCTGCCATCACCGCCCTGGCACGCCGCCGACGCGACCGTCTCCGGCAGCAGCTCCCGCTGCAGCAGTGAGTCGATCATTGGGGGCACCTCGGCGCGGACCCGCGCGTCGCGCAGCGGGGCCTGCGGGTGCGGGCGCGCAGGCCGGCGCGCGGCGCATATGAGCAGCAAGGACGAGCTAGCGGGTTCAGTCAATGCTGCCAGGCCTATGGGGGGGTGAGCAACCCCTTGTGATTCCAACTCCAGGTGACCACAATTCCTCAAAGCAATTTGACATGCAGTTGGAAGGAATGCACTCTCGTACTCAATCCCGTGTCACCAGTGCATCATGAATCGAGTGGCCCAGCCTGCCCCGCCCTGCCGCCTACCTCGTCCGCAGATGTGAGCAGGTTGCCAAGCACCAGCAGCGCCGCCTCGCGCAGCCGGTACCACCGCGGCCGGCCCCGCGCAGCCGCCTCGTCCGCCTGCGCGGCGCACAACCAGGGCGTCCGGGGCAAGAGGGGAAAAGGTCAGCACGCACGTGTAGGCGGGACAACAAGCGGTGGAAGAACTGCAACTTGGCGGCCGCGGCCAGCCGGGCTCACTCGTCACCCCCGCACGGCCTAGCAGTGCCATGCCATACCGTCCTCGCACCCCCGGCTCCACAGGCCACAAAATATAGCGCCCCGTGAGCGCTCAATGCACGATGTGTCTCAAAGTCAAGTGCCCTGTTGCACATACACACATGCGAGCGCGCACAAGAGTGTGCATGCACCCATGCATGCGCCCGCACACACACACACACACTCACATACACACGTGCATGCGCGTGCGTGTGCACCCACTCAAACAGACACAACACACACACACACACACATACAACCACACCTCTGCCAGCTTCCTCTTGACCGCCGCCAGGGCCGCCTCCAGCGCCGGTCCCTCAAACTCCTCCAGCAGCTGGTCCACCAGGATCTCGGCAGACGGCCTGAGGTGGGGATCAGGGGTTGGGTGATGCCACATGGCTTTAGGTGATGGTTGGCCGTTTCCAGAATGGGTTTGCTGGGGCGAAATAAACGCTTGGTGTTCTTTAACGCTACTTTGGCAGGGTTTGGAGGTTTTCACGAGGGTTGGCCCAAAAGAGTGCGACTGGCCAGGAGGGCAGTAGCCAGTGACGCGACTGCCTCCATCAATGGTCGGTGTGCTGGCGGCAAGCCGGCGCAAGTGCGAGGAGGCGGACGGCAGGGTGGCGCCCGATCGCGCAGCCCAGGCGGTCGGCGGGGCTCGACAGCCGAATCAGCAACGGGTTGGCGCCGGCGGCAGTAAAAACTCCTACCTGCAGCCGACGATATCAGCGTCCTCGTCAGCGAGCAGCGCGTTGGGGTCCGCCGCCCATAGCTCCTCCTGGGGCCCGCTCATCTGGCTGAAGGCCACGCAGAGGATCGCCAGCTCGGGCAGCGCCGGCAGCAGCAGCTTCTGGTGGCGCGGGCTGCCCGCCAGCGTCAGCAGCAGCTCGAACAGCTGACGAACAGGGAGTTTGGGGGGATCAGGGCGGGGAAAACGCGGAAGGCGAGGGGGCAGCAGGCTGTGGTCAGGATGAGACGGATGCTGGCAGAGCAAGTCTGCATGCTGATGTGGATACAGTCGATTGAAAGTTGATGCAGGTTGCGAGTGCAGTTGCCTGGAGTTGACCCCTAAGTGCAAGGATGACTTTGTTTCGAATCTCGTCACGTCACCCTCCTGGCGGAGGGTGTTTTGCCGCATGGCCTTACGCAATGGGCCATGCTCGGTCGTGCCATGTCTCATCATTGGGGCGGTGCCTGCTTTCTGCCTCAGTACACGGAATCCAATGGAGCTGGAAAATTTGCCCCGCTCACAAAAACCCAGCACATCTGCACATCCTGTGCGCACACGCGCACACCTACACATCTTTACACTCGTGCGTGCGAGCGCACATGCACACACTCGCACACACAAACACACACACACACACACACGAATTCAGGCCCAAACACGTGCACATGCACGCATGGATCGCACGCGCACGCGCACGCGCACGCGCGCGTCTCCCATGCGCAGGACCCTGCAGGCTCCCCCGCGCCTCACCTGGCTGAGCACTGTCTCCAGCCGCAGGGCGCTGCCCTCCTCCAGGCCCTCGTCCCCTGCCGGCGCCTCGTCATCGCCCTCCTCCCCCTCCACCATTAGAGCCTGGGACCGTTTTGGGGGGGGATGCAAACGCTGCCATCAAGATCCTGGTTGATCAGGGGCTGTCTGGCAGGTACTGATGGGTGTTGCCGAGCGGCCACCCCCTAAGCTGAGCTTCTCTCATCGCATTGCACATGCGACAGAGTTGAGGTTGTCCTGTGACCCCGCAACTCATTGCTGAGAAACTGGCGCATCAAGGCAGGCGCGTGTCAGGGCAAGGCGGCCGCAGCAAACCCCGAGTGGGCAGCAGGCAGGCGGACGTGCCCACAGACCTGGTGCAGAGCGGCCCCCTGGTTGAGCATCTGCCATGCTGCCGCCATGACGCTGGGCATGGCGCCCTCCATGTGCTTTGAAAAGAACCTGGGGCCGGAAGTGCAGCGCGCAGATAATCGGGCCGTCAACATACATCCGCACACGTCATCAGGTCAAGCCAGGCGACATGCAACAAGCCTCGACTGGCCGGGGCGGGGCACGCATGCATGCTGAGCCCTGCTGATGGATGGAGTTCGGTGAGCAGGGGTTTCATTGCTCGATCATTTCCGGGGCGCGAGGAGCAGCCGCTGCTCACTTGACGAGCAGCATGAGCAGCCGCAGCGCCTCCAGCTTGCAGCCCCACAGATGGCGGGACTGGGGCGGCACAGGGGCGCCACGCGGGGCGGCACGGGCGTCAGCATCAGGCATAATCATGCACGAAGCCGGAGCATGCAACAGGATATTTCTGTGATTTCAACAGCTGAGGCCGATGCAGCTGACCTGCATCATGAAACACCCCCCTGTGGCACCCTGTTTCCCTCTGTCCTAGGCACGCACGGCCTTGTGCCTCACCTGCGAGTCGAAGGGCAGCTCCAGCACTCCAGCGATGACCTGCACCCAGGGGCCGACCAACGGGGCCATCGCGTCGCGCGCCGCGCGCTGCCGCCGCCGCGCGTCGCTCCCCGCCTCCAGTATCTCAAGGCCTGAGGCGGAGGGGTCACCAAGACACGGAAACTTAGTAACTGAGCAGAAGGGATTGTGATAGACTGTTGCCGACTGCCACGAGTTGGTTCAAGGTGGTGCTGTGTGTGATGGGCCCGGGGCTTTGAGGCAAGTCAAAGGGCGCGCTGCCCCGCCCTGGGCACGACTTCGGAAGCGCACGATCGCGCCAAGCACGGCAATGCCACCTCTTCGACCCCCCCAACCGCGACCCACCGGCCACGAGCTCCGCCATAATCCTCAGCGCCATCCGCACCAGCGCCGCCGGCGCCGACGCGCCCGCCCCTCCCGCCGCCCCTCCCGTGCCGCCGGCGCCGGCGGCGAGCGCGCCCGCCTCTGCGCCGACGATGCCGTGCAGCGAGGCGGACAGCTCCTGCAGCAGGCGCGGCTTGCGCTCCTCGTCAAGGTCTTGCGCCATCAGGCACAGGCAGCGCAGGGCGCCGGAGACTGCGGGGGGGGGGGGGGCGAAGTCGCGGGTGCAGCCTGTTGGCGCGCATGGGACACGCATGTGTGGCATGGCATACATCACGATACGATTGGGGGACGGAGAAGGCGCGTGGGCGGCGCAAGAGAAGCTGCAGGGAGTGACCCTGGGGGTCGAGAAGGGTGGGCGAGGGTGCTAGAAGGGGTTCTGGGAAGGGGGGTGGGACGACGCACCTGTGTGGGGGTCGGTGCGGCGCTGCACCGCCGAGACGAGGGTGTCCGTGAGGCCCGGCCAGCCCGCATCCCCGTCGAAGTTGTAGATGACCGCAATGGCGGCGCCGAACGCGGTGCGCAGCTTGGACTCGGGGGCGGCAAGGCCGGCGGGCAGGGTGTCGCGGACCAGGGCCTTGTCGGGGTCGGAGATCTGTTGGGTATCACGAGTATGTGCGTGCGTGTGTGTGTATTTGTGTGTGGGGGGGGGTCAGTGGGTGTACTTCTTTTTGTGTGTGTGCGTCTATTTCCGTGTGTGTGTCCCCATGTGTGTGTGTGTGTGTGTGTGTGTGTGTGTGTGTGTGTGTGTGTGTGTGTGTGTGTGTATGTATGTGTGTGTGCGCGCGCACATGTGTGCGCCCCCGTGTGTGTGCGTGTGCGACTGTGTGTCCAGGAGGGACCGCCTGGTCCGGGCCGGGGGGGGGGGGTGCACGGCTCCGGACTGGCCCCAGCGCTGCGGCGATTCGCGAGCTCGCGGGCAGCAGCGTCCGCCCGCCGCAGAGGGAAGCACAGCGGACGCGCGTATGAAGGCGGTGCAGGCGCGTAAACCGCGTGCTCGGTGAGGCCAAAGCCGCCCTCGCCTGTCTGCCATGTGCACCTGGGGCGGCTCGAATCCGCGCTCGCCCTCCTGCCAGCGCTTTGAGCACGTGTTCTTGAGCAGCAGCACTGCCAGCTGCCGCAGTGCGGGTGGGAGACTGCCTTCAAGCGCGGCCTGCGCCAGCAGCGGCGCAAACCCGGGCTGGCGCGCGGCTGTCTGCAGCGCGTCCTCTGCTGCACGCCGCGCCACAGGATCGGTAGCATCTATGCTGGCGGCCAGCAGCTGCAGGAGCTGCGTAGGGTCCATCCTCGCGACTGATGTGCGCTGTGCCGCTCTACAATTGCTGCGGCAAGCGCGGGATCAGATCACTCCATCGCAGTGCACGATCTACTGCACACAAAACATCGCATCATTCATTAACTGTGTGCTATTGCCTGCACGTAAGCGGGTCATGAATGGTGCAATGAGTACCGCACGCCAGCAGTTATCCCGGCATGCAGCAAGTGAATGGAGACGAACAGCAACGCAGATAGCAACACTGAATCTTATACTTGCTAAACCATGCCGCTGGCGGTTACAGCATGGCGCCTTGTCAGACCAGACGCCGCTGCGTTCAGTTGCCAACTGACAAGTGTCTGTTCATCAGCAGGCCAGAGGGGACTGGAAACCTGCTGGAAACAAACATGATTGGTGTTAGGGTGTCTCAGTGATGTGCAATTGTGCATATGATTGCGCACGCGGGTTGTAGGATGCAAGTGACGGCCATGTGCTGCAAACTCCTTGCATACTGTACCACCGATGCTACTAGATACTCTATGTGCAACACGGACGAGGGGGTTCCGCAAGCGTGCCAAACATGGCAGGCGTGTGAGCGGAATGGCAGCTTCAGCGAAACGTGCAGCTCTGCCATTGTGACGCTCCCCCCTCTCGCACCGCGCCCAGCCGGGCTTTCCATAGGGCAACCAAGTTCTTCCGGACAGACTAGGCGCTGCATGGGCATCGACAACATTTCACAAACCAAGCATTTTGTCGTGGCGGGTCAGCTCCTGCCGCACCCACGAGCGCCTGCGTGCAGCCAGCAACGGGACAGATGATGCATGCGGCGTCCAGAGAGGCGACTCCGAATGGAAGTGGGCCAAGTGGCCCTTGAATGCTGTTGCACGACTTGCTACTTGGCCTTCCCTTTGCAGAGGATATTTGAAACGTGTCGCAAAGCGGTGCTCCGGCCTGGCAGTTCCTACACAGGTCTGCGAGATGCATGTATGTCCCGCTGTTTGGCGTGGCCCACGCGTGTTCCACAACGGCATGCCTGCGCCACCCGGTGCTTTCAGTGATTCTTGAGCCCTGAGTTCCAGTAGCCTGCCCGCTGCAGAAGCCGACGACCAGGCAAGGAAGACACGCGGCAAGGCGCGCAGCATGAGCAAGCGCCGCTCAGGTCGTCAACTAGGGCGCATTACTGACGTCACATCCGCGCAATATTACGCGTTTCACGAGCCCGCTTTTGCAGATTTCTCGTACAGGTATGAAATCAACATCCCCGCAAAATATCTACGAGGTCGCTTGCGGGTGAAGGCCTTGAAAAATTCTAATATCTGGCTAACATCAAGTTGCATATGCCATTGTATCGTGATCTGACGAAAGCATATGGATATGGGGAAGACTGGCACCTGCTGCGCACTTGCGCTCTTGCGCAAGACGGGCAAAGAGGAGAAAAGGGCCATACACGGCATACCAACGTACATCTGATGGTATTATGTCCAACTACCAAGCAATTTTTACATCATCCACTCGCCCGCAAGGCGTCACAAGTCAAGCGCAGCAAGTGGTGCTGCACAGCTAAAGGTAAGCTTACAGCGGACTCTGCGCGCGCACAGTAATGCAGGTGTGTTTGTTGGATATTGTGATACACAGTACAGGCCTCTGCCGAGCCTCGACAACCTGCCGTTTCTCCCATGTGCGCGGCTTCCGCGCTCGCAGGCCACACACTGGGCTCACATTAAGTCTCAAGAGGAACGATGCGTATCTTTGCCGAAAATGGCGTGAGGCGGACGATGTCGAAGGTGCGGAAGGGTGTGGCGCGGCGTGCCGAGCAGCAACACGCGTGGCAAAGACCTTGTGTTGACCATGTGTGGTGCACTGCCCATTCACGCGCGGGGAACAGTAAAAGCGGCGTTGGACTAAGATTCGACTAGGATGCAGGTTGCAAGGCCTGAAGGCGACTGCATGTAGCACAGCCCGCCGCCGGCAGCTGCAGCTGCATAGGGATGCACCTTGGCCTCAAGCCAGCAGCTGCCCCATCTGCCCACCTTCCTGACTATTTCTTCCTTCCCCTGGCCTCTTGCACTCCTCTGGCAATCCCTCAGCAGTTAACCAATATCCCTGCGGCCCGAGTCGCCCCCCGGCGCCGCACCTGCGCATGTCCCGTGTCGTCCAAGAGTGCATCTCATGCGGCGCTTGGCTCCGCCAAGCAGAACCTCCCCGGCACGATCAAGACTGGCGTGACCAACAAGACCACCGCCCCGGCCACCACCAACGCCGCACTCTTCCCCGCCATGCGGGAGACCGACCTTGGTGTGGCCGCCGCGCGCAACGACCTAAAAGGGTGGGCGCTGACTCTCGACAAGGTGGTGCATGACGCTGACGAGGACGCAGCCCGCACCCTCAACGCCAAGGCGGAGCAGTTCCGCACTTGGTTTCTGACCGTCAACGCGGCGCTGCCCGCCGCCGAGCGTGCCGAGCTCGCGCGCCTGACCGCCGCCAGCAGCGCACTGGCCGGAGTCGCCGCCGCCGGCGGCGACGCCGCGGCCCAGATCGCCGCCATCATGAAGCTCCGCGCGGCGCTGCCGCCGCGCGGGCCCCACCTGCCGGCGCGCCCCCGCCACAAGAAAGACCAGAACCTCATCATTGCAAGCCGGGCGCACTGGCGCTCCGAGGCGCAGGTGCTGGGCCTGCTCGCCGCGGGCCTGGCCACCATGCAGGAGAGCGGGCTGGAGGACCTGCTGGTGCGCGCCAACAACACCGACCCCTGCGGCAAGGGCCGCATCTCTGCTGTGATGCGTGATGCCGCGCAGCAGCACCGCCGCATGGCGCGGCGGATGGCCAGGCTGGCGGCCAACGGCCGCGCCGCGCTCGCCTCTGGCGTCATCCAGCGGGCCGCCGGGGTGGAGAGCGCCTGCGCCGCCACTGACAAGGTGATTGCCCAGCTGGACGCCGTGGGGCTGTCCGCGGCGGCGAGCCTGGCGCCGCGCGCGCTGGCCGCGCCCCCGCAGGGCAGCGCGGCGCGTGGCTCCATGGCAGCCTGCTGCCTGATGCTGTGCGCGGCGGTGGCGGTGGCCGGCCTGCCGGCCGCGCGCGACCAGCCGGCCGCGCGGAAGCTGCTCCGCAGCTTCAAGCTGCGGGACATTGACATCAGCGGCGATGCGGACAGCAATGAGGACGGCAGCGGCCGCGATGGCCGCGACCAGGACGACGGGCCTGACGCGGGCTCGCCATTTGTGCTGGTGCCGCGGCGTCCCACGCCCGACGGCACCCTTGACGGCGGCATGGGGGCGGAGGCTGAGCCCGAGGGCCAGCAGGCGTCCGGCCGCGGCCGCCGCGCCGCCGACGCGAGCGCCCCCATGCCCCGCGCTCGCCGGGTCTTTGGATGGGCCAAGGCGGCCCTGTCGCGGGGCTTCGCCGCCATGTTCTAGTGAATGTTTGCGGCTTTGTATTTTCGGGTGTGCTGTTGGCTGGTGGTGTTCATCTTGCGCCACAGAGCCCATCTGCGCCCGAAGCACCGCTGCGGGGGGAGGGGGTTTTCAGGGATCTTCAATACCACAGAGCCGCCATTTGCCCCAATGAGTGGCGCAAACCTGTGCGGCTGGTGCCCGTCTATACTTTCTTGCCGCCCCTGTCCAGCCCGCCTGGTTCTGTTGGGGTGGCACGCGCTCGGCGCGGTTGCTGTGGCCTTGACGACTTGGCATGGATCCCTGCTGTTGTGCTGCCCAGACACTCTGCTGCCACCCTACAGAGACCCTAAAAAAGCAAAATCAAAAACAAAATACACAACAAACAACAAACAAAAGCACCAAATATTGAGAACTTGCCCGAGCGCAGCCAAGTGCCCATGTTGGCTCCTGGCGTACGTACCCTCACACGCATTTGATGCGGCACGGCAGGCACCACGCACAGTGTTTGGGTCGCCGAGGGTGCCGCGCTGGGCCGCAGCTTGCACTTTCACTAGACAGCACAAGCAACAATATGCGAGCCGGCCTGCTCTTTTGGCAGGGAAGCTGCATGCCTGCATACACGTGTTGAGCCTGGAGGCTCCATGTATGGGTGGCTGGATGAGTAGTCAAGCGCTCAACACTGCCGTTTGCTCCTGGCCATTGGTGTCAACGAATAAGCCTGCCTGGATCCTTTGGAGAAGCTCGCGCGCGGCGCGGTTGCTGTGGCCTTCACACCTTACTTGGCATGAACATCTGCCGTTGTGTTGCCCAGCTGCTTCCCTGCCATCCTACAACAATCTGCCACAAGCCTCGGACTTCTGATACAACTGCATTTGCGCAGCGAACGCCCTTGTTGGCTCTCATGGGCGCCAATGCCTTCATTTGACGACTGGCTGGGTTGGGGCAGCAGTACAGCGCTCACAACCCAGCATGTATTGGCCAGGGTTGGGGCTCATGGATGGGCGATAATACGCATCAACCGCCGAGAGGTGGTTAGGGCTTGCTTGCTTGCTTGCGGTGGTGTTGTTTCTTATGCAGAATCGAGGTCTGTCCATGTTGGGGCTGCGCTTCATTGCTGCGCCGTGGCACAGCGTGCAGGGCTAGAGAGAACCCTACCAGCGATGCGCTGCCGCAGTGCATTGGGGGCTTCGGGTGTGGGTGCCATTCCCCACGGCGTCTTGAGCATTTTGTGGGGGAAGGGCACGTACAGCACAGGCTTGTGAAGCCTTCTTTCCTGGCCTTGGAGATGTTGCATGCTTAGACCATGCGTTGCAAAAACGCTGTCACAATGCTGCTCCTGGCCTTGGAGTATTTGCCTGCTTTGACCATGCGCTGTACAAGCGCTGTCACATCCTGCTCCTTTTTTGAGCCACACCCACACCTGCGCTACCTAAATGGTGCCTGAGTTGTGTAACTGCGACCCGTTTTTTGTCACAGGGTGCTCTATACATGTCAAGCAGGTGCTTTGAAAAGGGGCGCTCAGCCTCACATGCGCAGCACGACTGGCTCCGACTGAGGCCGGCCAATCGCACGATGACGGCACAGGGGGTTACGTAGCTGCCTGGCAGGAGTGACAGGCTTTCAAGCATCGTGGTCTCACGTTGCCGCCCGCAGCCACGTTCACAAGCTCACCCCATCCACCAAACAGCAGCAAGCAGCTGGTGTCGACCAATGGCATGATACCGATGACACTCCTCAACGAGTGGTGCCAATCTGCAACACAAGACCAACACATACCCGCTGCACCTGCTCAACCAATCGCCGGCGCCCACGCACGCCTGCACCAGCAGCCACCCGCCCCCCCACGCTGCCTACGACAAACAAACCACGCGCGCCTCATCCCCGCCTGGCGCCCGGCACCCGCCTGCGCCCCATCACCCTGCCGCCTGGCAAATCCAGTGAGCTTACACCCTCAACGTGTGTGCCACAAGTATACGCAGTGTCACCAGCCCGTCGCGCGCAACCCAGCAGCTCATTCCGCAGAATCTGCCACGCGCATTACATCTCGTGGCACGCGTCCGCGCCTTGGCTCCTCGTCACTGCTGGCACCCAAACACCTTGACGCTCTTGTCAAAAGAGCACGTGGCCAGCAGGTTGCGCCCCCAGTCCACGTTCAGGTCGCGCACGTTGACGCGGTGGCGCCCCTCCAGGCGCGCGGCCAGCTTGCCGGTGCCGACATGGTACACGTGGACAGACGCGTTCTCAGCCGACGCGTAGACATAGGCGGCGTCGTGGTGCCACGCGACTGGCGGTTGGGGGCGGTTGGGGGCGGTTGGTGCTGGTT